CAAGTCAATGGAGAAATGGTAAGTTTTCAACAAATGGTACTGGCACAACTGAATACCCAGTTAAAAAGCTGAACCTCTATCCTTACCTCATACTAAATATAAAAATTAAATTGGGATGTATCATGGACCTAAATGTACAGCTAAAAGTATAAATCCCCTAGAACAAAACACAGGATCTATCTCTTGCTAGTATTTGTTATTATTTGTATTCCTAATGACTGTCATTCTAAATGAGAATTTAGACAGTCATTAGGAATACAGGTATAAAACAGCTACAAACTATCAAAAAAGGGTAAATGATGACTGGAATTCAACAAAATTTAAAATTCTACTTTACTTGCACCATGGACTCTGTTCAAGGTTCCTATCTGATGCCTTCTTTCTATTCATGGACCCTAGAATCAGAATGAGATTTTAATTCTAGCTGTGACAAATATTAATTGTGTGATCTTGGGCCATTCCCTTGACTTCTCTGTGCCTCAATCTTTTCATCTGTAAAATGGGGATAACAATGGTACCTTCTCTTGGGATTGTCTAAAAGATGATATGAGCTAACGGTACTTGGAACATAGTGAGTACTATATAAGTGGTAATTAAGACACACGGACAAACCCACACAAAAACAGTCATCTGATCCATGTTTTTTAGCCCCCCCCCAAAAAAAAATTAGAGAAAAGACAGTGTCTTTAACAATAATGGTGCTGGGAAAATTGGATATCCATATGTAGGAGAACAAAACTAGATCCCTATCTCTCACCCTGCACAAAATTCAACTCTAAGTGGATCAAAGATCTACAAATCAAAGACTAGAAACTTTGCAACTGCCAGAAGAAAATACAAGGTCAATCCTGCAACATATTGGCATAGGCAACAACTTCTTCAATGACCCCTTATGCTCAGTAAATAATACCAAGAATTAATAAATGAGATGGCATCAAATTCAAAAGCTTCTTCACAACACAGGAAACAGCCAACAAAGTGAAGAGACTACTTATAGATGGGAGAACATTTTGC